AATGGGATCGCAACCCTCGGTGTCGCGCCTGCACCGGGGACCGGCAACGGGATCGCAACCCTCGGTGTTGCGCCCGCACCACGCTCAACCAGTGAGCGGGAACCGGTCTCCACATGGGATCCGAACCCTCGGCGGGAGCACCGCCATGCTCCCAAGCGGCGCACTCTCCAGTGTGCCACTGGGTTGGCCCAACCTAAGTGTTTTTGACTCCAGGGCCTTGAACATTTTTGCATTCCTGAAAGGGTGATACAGTAATGGCATGTGAGAAAGAAGAGAATAGGGGATGAAGATGCAACAGGAGAGGGGCTGCCCTGGGAGTGTGGCTCTGCTGACCTCAGGGTCTCACAGCGAGCAACTCGGTGTGAGTGACTTTGTCATCAGAAGGAGCTGGGCTACAGCATCTCATGCAGACTTCTCAACCTTTCTGAGACTTAGCTTTCTCATCTATAAAACGGGGGTAATAATACTTCTCTTTGAGTGTCACGATAATTAAAGTAAGTTATATACAGAATCCTTGTAGCAGAAAGCCTGTCTCATAATGGATGCTTACCACATCTTGGTCCTCAGTGCTCCACTCCACTGCCCCTCCTTTTGCAGAACTGAAGGGAAGATTATCATCTACCCTTGTGGCATGTGTATGGGTAACAGTGCTTAGCCCTCTCAAGAAAAGCTCCCCTTTGCCTCCGATTTTTAGACTTGGTAATTGCACTAATGTTGAACAAAGTTGTGAACGTTATGACAGTTTTGTTCTCCTACATAAGAGATGAGTGCAGCCGGCGAAATACTTTGACAACAATTAATTGCACTCATACTGTGTCATTACACAGATTCACTTCATAACTCTTTTTTTTTCTTTTGTGTTTGAGCTGCTCTATTACAAACCATGCTCTGATAAATAACTTTTTTGGCAGAGCCTTCCCCAGACCTAAGAGCTGCCAGTCCAAGCCGGACCTTGGGGGTTGCCTCTGCTCCCAAGGCTCAGGCAGAAGGCTGTGATCACTTTGGGTGCTGGAGGAGGTATCCTGGAATGTGCCCTGTGACTTGCCTCATTCCAGGCAGAGGAGAGAAGGAGCTGAGCAGAGAGGGTGATTTTTCAGGACACAACCTGGCTTTCCTAGGGAAGGGAGGGAACAAGTTTTCATCAGGGTTAGGAGCATGTCATGGAAGTATTTTGCACAGCTGCATTTGCAGAGGGAGAAGACCTCAGTGCCAGCACCTTGGTTGGGGTTTTGATCGCTGCCCATGATCCAGAAATAGAAACAGGGTCAAAATAGGCACAATGGAATAGTCTCTTCCAGGCTTTGACCCCACCCATGCTG